TGAAACAGTGGAATTTTAAAAAGTGGAATTTCTTAGTTTGGGATATCACCACAAAAATAATTAATTCTCCAGAGTATCTGAAACTTGTGAGGAATATGACTAATATGCAGATATTCTGAAAAGTCAACTGTCTTAGAGTTATGCAGTGCTTTAGAGTGTTATGAAATGACTAATGTATGAGGATGAGCCATTTCTGTAATATATGAAAAAATGTAGTACATGTTTAATGTAGAGACAAAAACAGCAAAGCACCTTCATCTAAGGGATGTCACTGGAAGTAAATTCTTGATGAGAAGACAAAGTACAGCAAGGCCTGGGAAACCCTTTGCCCTCCTCTCTTTTTTGCCCAGACTCCTTTTTCTGTTCACTATTAGAAAGTAACAACGAAAATGTACCCATCCTGCCGTTAGCCACGTCCTCTCCTTTGAGTGCTCCTTGTCTACTCGTAATAGATAACTAGAGTCTTGAGCAGATGTGTGATTGAGTAGACAGATGGAGGGAGGCATTGGATTTTGGTTCTGGATTAAAATAGCAACATTGTTCTTAAAATTATATCAGCAATGAGAATAATTATAACTGGTGCTTGAAGAAAAATCAGCATTTTGCAGCTATATTATTTACTTTTGAATATTCAAAGGATAGTCAAATAAACATGTTATTAATGCTTCTAAAATTATTCTTTGTCATATCCTTATATAAGTAAAGCTACCTCAAAAACCCTTTTTTTCCCCTTCTATCCATCAGATATTATTTGAATTTCACTTTTCTGGCCTTTTGTTTCTCTTTGGTCTTCAGAATTAAGTTTTGATATTCTTCTGGTCTTCCTTATATCCTGTATAATTTCATGTAATTGTTTTTCTTTTCTCTCTCCCTACCATTTATACCATTCAAGCTGTTCTCTATATACTACTTGTATTATTAGCTATTTTATTATTTTTCGTTAGTTTATTTTCTGCTACTTTTAATTGCGTTCCTTTATTACATTTTAATGGTTGTGCTTTTCTAATGTGCATACTGAATATTGATCAACATTTACCTCTTTTAAGACATTCAAAGAATAGGAATTATAATTTCATTGTACAATTGAAGTTTTTTTCCATTAAAAAATTCTAAGAACATAAACTATCTTTAAATGTACCTTTCTTTTCAGGGTGATGTTGCAAATGAAGTGGAGACTGAACAAATACTCTGTGATGCTTCTGTGATGTCTTTTACTGCAGGAAGTTATTCTTCTTATGTGCAAGTTAGAGGATCAGTTCCCTTATACTGGTCTCAGGATATTTCAACTATGATGCCTAAGCCACCCATTACATGTGTGTAGAACAGTCTTTTTAATAGTAACTCTTCCATGCTTACATTTAGAGATAATAAACTGTTGTTACAGAAATCTCATAAATGCTTTAGTTTCAGCAAGGTTTTAGTCCTAAAAGATAGATGATTTAGAAGAGGAACTTCTACTATTTTTATGCAATACGTTTATATTTAATTTTGTTAGTAAATTATTTGTATTTCACTCAGAAATGTAAGAATCATTCAAATTTAATAAATGCATGGTGAATGAGCATCTAGTGAGCTCCTTGAGAGGGATTCGGGAAGTGAGACTACTGGATTAGTTGAATTGCATTTCTTTAAACATTAAATAAACCCTACACTTTTATTTATGCTTTGTAATTTTCATTCTGGTATTTATTCCTCTTTTTTTCCTTCTCAGTGGATCAGGCGGATCCATTTGCACATGTGGCTGCCCTTCACTTTGACCAGATGCTTCAGAGGTTTGGCTCCCCCATCATCATCTTGAATTTAGTGAAGGTAGGAAGTGCTCTCATCTCTTTGGTTGTGAGATTCAAACTCCCTAGACAACATCTTCCTCAAAAGGGGTTAACAAACTGTGCTTTACCTCTCCCCAGAGGAGAGACTTATAGATTATTGTGCTGTGACAGCTTGCTGTGTCTGAGCCACTGTCATTTGGCCTCAGATTCCATGTGGCCTCTTCCCTATATACCTGGAGAAATCAATAGTATGTTTCCAAGAGAAGAGAGTGATTCACTGTATCGGGCTCCTGATTTCCTTGTGTGAATTAGGTGTGGGTGAAATTTCTGCCTTAGTTTCCAGGACAACATGGAGAAAGAAGCCTGAAGATCAAACTGCCACAGCTTGGCCTTGATACTGCCAGCTCCCTTGACAATTTATAAGGTCTCCTGGGCAAATTAATATGTAGTAATAGGATCAAAAGGCTAAATTTAAAAATTGGGGTAAATTTGTGGCTCAAGAATCAGGTGGGCATGTGAGAAGCCCAGACAAGGTGGTGGCACTGGCCTCTTAGTCCTCTGCTTCCTTGTCAGAGGACACTGACTGGCCAACATATCTTGTGTGTATGAGTTGTTATACAGGTCCCAGGCCTAAGTTGGAGGACAAGGAGACCAGACAATAAGTTTTATTTGCATCTGTTGCAACCAAGTGAATTGAAAGAATCTCAGTCAGCAGCCAAGAATACCCTGAGAGTATGAAAAGTGAGGGTTTTGTTATGTTGTATGGTTGTGGCAGTGGCCAACAACCTAGCAGTGTCTGAGGTTATTCTGAGAGATTGGTTAATAAATGTAAGTCAATTTATTGAAAAACCAAGGAACCTTGTGTCCATTTAGTCAGTCATTTAACAAGTATTTTTGAGTGTTTTCTACATGCCAAGGCAATCACAGAAACAGTTCCTGCCTTCATGGAGCTTCTAGTATATTGGAGGAGATGGTGAAGTAATACAGAGAGACCAGTACAGGGCAGATAATGCTATGAGGGTTTGTAGTGGGAGAGAGGTCTTCCGTGAGGATGTGATGAGTCAGCCTCAGCCTGAAGAAAGAAACAGGTCAAGAGGACAGAGAGTTATATTCAACTTGGAGAGAACAGCATGTAGAAAGGCCCTAGGACAGGAGGGAGTGTGGTGGATTTGAGGAAGAGAAGGAAGGTCTGTGTGGCTGGGGCCCAGAGGGTGAAGGCAAGAGAACTTGTGGTGAGATGAGGCTGAAGAGATAGTTGTGGCCAGACCGTGCAGAGCATTGTAGTGGGTGTTAATGAGTCTGGTCTTTATTCTGAGAGTAGAGGAAAGCCATTGAAAGTGTGGTTGAGAGGATCATTGTCAGAGTTATGTTTTGAAAACATTACTGTGACTTCAACATAGAGAGACCAGATAGGAGGCTATTATAATTGTCCAGAACAGAGGTGATTCTGGCTTACACTAGGGTGGTGTGGTAGAGAGAGAGAAAAGTGGATGGAGTCAGTAGACTTAGTGATGGGCTGGATTTGAGATGAGGGAGAGGGAGGTATCAGGCTCGACTCCTAGGTTTCTGGCTTCTCAGGTGGATGGATGGCAATGCCATTCACTGAAATGGGGAAAACTGACAGTTTGTGGGGGAAGATCATGGGTACGCTGTGGACATGCTGAGGTTTGAGGTGTATTTGAGTCCTCTAAAAGGAGGTATCAAGTAGATGGTCAGTGTACGAGACAAGAGCTCAAAGGAGAGGTCTGGGCCAAGACATGATTTTGTGACTCTATGTACATGTGACAGTTGAAGGCGTGGGCATGGATAGGATGCCCATACAGAGAGTATGGAGTGAGAAAAAGAAAACCTCAGACCTAATCTTGAGGATCTCCAGCTGTTAATGTCCAGTTGGAAAGGCTGAATCTCTAAAGGAGTAAGAAAAAACAGCCAGAAGAGTAGGACGAAACCAGGAGGGTGCTGTGTTGTGAATGCCACATGAAAGCATGTTTCATGGTGAAGGAAGTAAGTGGTGAACAGTGTCAAATGCTGCTGAGGGTCTAGTAAGATGAAAATGGAGAAAATGCCCCTTGGTGTCAGCACCATGGAGGGCACTGATTGAAGTGGATTGAGAGTGGGACAAAAGCAAGCAAGTGGGGGCAGTGAGTGTAGTACTTTTTTTTCTCCCAGCAGGAGTACCTAGAGAATGATGAAGAGTTGGTATTTTGTGTTTTTTTAAAGAGATCATATTGATATGTTTAAAAGCCTGTGGGAAGTATCCATTTGAGAGGGAGAGTTATAGTACACAGTAGAGAAAAGGGATGATCAGGGGTTTTTTGTACTTAGGAAAGTAGGAAATGATGAAATCTGAAACATGGTGGGGGAACTATTTTAATGGGAGAACAGAGAATAGTAAGGGTGCAGATGTGTGTGGGTTTGTGCACATGCATGCTCCATTCTGATGGCTTTAATTTCTCTTTAGAGTAGGAGGAAAGGTCATCTGGAAGTTTCAGGGTAGTGGAGAAAGTTTAACAGTCTCATGTATGTGGGAGGGTAATTTGACTAGAAACAGACCAGCAGTACTAAGGGCCAATTTCAGGTTGGTGATCATGATTTCTTAAATGGAACCATTCTGCTCTTGCCTGCATTTTTCCAGTAGGGCTTGTGTATGGGCATAAGCACAGATAAAATAAATAATTGAGTTCATTTAATTTTGCCAGACAGGTGTGACATAAAAGACAGGATCAAAGGCATTTTGGATATTGGCAATAGTGTGATTGAGGTGGACATGAAATCCGAACTGGATAAGGATGGAGCATAAAGGAGAGGCCTGATAGAGAAAGTAGACCTGTCAGTGGATTCGGGCCCTCGTGAGATGGGGTATTTAAAACAAGTAATCTGAAAATAAAAGAGATTCTGGATAAAAATGATGAAAGCAGGGCAGTTACCTGTGATGGTGGCTTGGCTCTAAGATGTGAGGGTGGGAATAGGGACTTACTGGAGTGAAAGTGGAGCTGGAGGTACTGAATGTCACCCAGGATGAGGCAAAGCTTGAGGAGGACAGTTCTCAGGAGAGGACTGTATAACTAAGTGCATGGGCTCAAAGGAGCAGGGGGTATATGTGTGTGTTGTGTGTTTTTAATCAGGAGTATGGCAGAGTATGGCCCAAAAGTGTCAGTGGCGGGAGAAGAGGGAGACAATGAAGCAATTAGCTTCATTTCTTCTTTTGTTGCTCTTTGGTTTATGTAATCTCATCCTACCAGGGATTGGCTTTGTAAAATAAATCATTCAGATACTAAATACATCATTTTCTAGATATTTATTCACATTAATTCAGAAGTTTTATATTCATATCTCTTTCCCTGTCAACTCAGAATAATAGAAGGCTATAGCTGGATAATCTCTAACCTTAGCCTAGTATTGAACAGTGGCTGTAATGTACATAATAGAAAAATTAAAATAGGAAAACTTTAATAATGAAAACACTCATGGATGCTTTTCCAGTAAAAGTATAGAAAATAAGATATTGTTAGTAGAGAAATAAATTATTACTAAAGCACTAAATTATAAAGTATTAATGGAATGTAAACCTGGACCAAAATTAGTGGATATTTTTCATATTTTACAGCATTCTCATAGTGTGGTTTAAAAGCTAAGGTTAAATGGAAATTAAGGTCTACAATGGTTTAAATAATTCTCTATTAATTATACACAATTCAGAAAATACTATCAGATACATGTGATTGTAAAATGTTCTTTCCCAGATTTCACACATGTACATTTATTTTTGAGCATCTAAAGGCCAGTCAGTGGATTTTAAAATTGTACTTGTTTATTGTTCCATTGTAATAAAAATCCTGACAATAACTAGAGATTAACTAAAGAATAATTTGGAGATTAATTTGCTGTCTCATGGAATAGAAAAACATTTTGTTGTTTTTGTCATAGGGTATTTTATTCGTAGGATAAAAAAAGATGTTTATTCCATTCACTTGGAAGAAGACTTTATTAATCTGTGATTAGAGTCAAAGAGTGCATGTGTATATAGAATGATACTGAAGGACATTAACTCTTTATCCTACCACCATATGAAGTTACTACAGTGAACTACTTTCCTTGAATTATTTTTTCTTTTACCCTGTGCTGAGAACTTTTCCCCAGTTGTGGAAGTTTGAGGCAATCCAGGTACCTTCAGTGCTGCTACTGAGTATCAGTAGGAAGTCAAGCTGGGGTCAAGCATAACCACAAATCAGAGGTTTTTAATCTGGGGGCCATGGATGCCCATTAGGAGGATATCTGAACGCTTTGAAATGATATGCAAACTCACTTGTACGTGTAAAGTTTTCATTTGGTGGTTAAAGGGGTTCTTTGGCCCTAAGGAGGTTGACTAAGTAATCCACGAACACTAATCTGTTATGGACAGACAATGCATAAAGCAGATTCTTTACACAGAGATCAAGGCAGGTTGCTTAAATAACCATTCTACTCCATCTTACAAAATGTCAGATATGATTTAAGAATTTCAAAAAGATTTTGTTTCCCTAGTTGATTTAAAGTACTTTTGAGAAAAATTCCAGATAAATAATTTAATTTTCTCAGATACAAAAATAAGCTAAATATAGTTTCATCCTAAACTGATTTAACATGGTCCTTAATCAATTCATATCTAATTCTTCCATTTAATGTATTCAGCTGTGCACAATAAATAGATAGACTTTTTTGTTTCCACAATGGTTATCTCATTAAATTCATGGCAACTGAAAGTAATCTCCATGATCAAAAACAGCCCATACTTATTTTGATGCCAGTGATTTTTGCCTTAACACCATTTCAGAGTCACTATTGCAGAATTAATTGTTTTTGTTTGTTTCCAAGTGAGGGCCTCATCAGGATAATAATAAAAATAGCTAATTTTTATTCAGTACTTACCATAATATGCCATATGCTCTGAGAAGAACTTACCATGCTTTATCATTTAAACCTCACATTAATGCTGTAAGGAAGATACAATTGTTACCGCATTTTATAGATGAAAAACTAGAGGCCAAGGGAAGTTGAGAACCTTGCCCAAGGCCATGGCTAGTAAGTGGCAGAGCCTGCATTCCACCTGCAGAGCCGTACAATAGAACATACAGCACTAGCTCCTCTTGAATGAGAGGTACCACAGGAAGAAGGCAGAAGGCAAGGTTTAGTCTCATGAATGCCTCTCAACCTCAGTTCATTCAACTACAGTGTAAAACGAAAAAAAAAAACATGCCTGTCTTGGCTATCTCACAGAATATTTTGCAAGTCAAATTTAAAAACATGTGAAGGCTGTGAAAGTGTTCTCTGCTATGCCAGTTTGGGGATTGTCCATCCAGATCTGGTTGATTTCTGTCTGACCCTCAGCTGGCTGAAATTGGGTTTTCCCTCCTTTGGATCCTTGTGGGGGGTCTCCTCTACCAGAATGGGGTGTAGACTATGTGGGCCAGGCCTGTGTTGGGTGAGTTAGGATTCTCAAGGCTTCAAGGAGGTTACCCAGAAGAAGTCTGATCTCCTTGACTCTTTGAAAGTCCATTATATGTTGACTTTAATTCAATGAAGTATGTATTTCTTTGCATTTATATTATTTTAATATAGTAGGTAGGTTTTATTTCAGGAGTTTTTCTCTTAGCTGAGACGTAAAAATGCTAAAAGTCTGTTCCTCTGACTTAAGGTAATTAGAATGCTGAAAATATTTAATTTTTAATAAAGGAACGAGAGAAAAGAAAGCATGAAAGAATTCTGAGTGAAGAACTTGTCGCTGCTGTGACTTACCTCAATCAGTTTTTGCCTCCTGAGCACATTATTGTTTATATTCCTTGGGATATGGCCAAGTACACCAAAAGGTGAATGATACTCATTTGTCTTGTGATAATTTCCTTTTCTTTTAATGAAAAATAACAGGAAGCTGATCTCTATGGTAAAGTAAATGTTACTCTTAATTTCCTTTATCAATCTGTTGAGAGACTGTTCTGAGTACTTAAATGAATTGACCAAATTCTTTTTTTGCCTACCATGTGTATCATTTGCAAATTCTGTTTGAAATATCTAGTCATTTCAGAACATCTCTGTTCTACTACTCTTCCTTAAAGGTGTTAGTTTCACTTTTTTCTATTTCATTCTATCTCACTGTTTAAATACCTCCTCAGATACCACCTTCAGGTTATCTCACTTATGGATGAAACTGCAATAACTCCCCACTGTTTATGGTAAATACAGACTCCCTAGTGTAATGGTAAAGCCTCATCACCTGGTTGGTTCTAGAATGTAATAACTTTTTATGTATTCCCAGGACTATTCTGTTCCAGAAAACTCAATCTTCAGGCTTTGCCCCAAATGTAGCAGCCAAGGTCCCATCCCTGAGCCTTTGTTTCTGTTGTTCACGCTCCCTGTGATGTTTTCCCACCACTCTTTTTCAAGATCTGATTCAAAACTCATCTCTTCTAAGGAACTTTCATTAAACCTTGCATTGTCTTTTTACTAATTTACCACACATCATACAAGTGCTGGGTATACTTTAAGATCTCATATTTTAAAATGTTACTATATTGTTTTGTACTTAACTCATCCTACTTTTTCCTAAATCATGTCATATAGTTCGATACACAAACACACTTTTAAAAATGTTACTATACTGTTTTGTACTTAACTCATTCTACTTTTTCCTAAATCATTTTATGTAGTTAAATATACACACACTCAGGAGCACACACTTTCCTAGAGTATAAGCTAGATTACAGGTTTTTGTTTTTGTTTTTGTTTTCCTTTTTGTCTTTTTTCATGACCGGTAACGGGATCGCAACCCTCGGTGTCGTGCCTATACCGCGACCGGCGATGGGATCGCAACCCTCGGTGTTGCGCCCACACCGGTTTTTGTTTTCCTTTTTGTCTTTTTTCATGACCGGTAACGGGATCGCAACCCTCGGTGTCGCGCCTATACCGCGACCGGCAATGGGATCGCAACCCTCGGTGTTGCGCCCACACCATGCTCAACCAGTGAGCGGACTGGTCTCTACATGGGATCCAAACCCTCGGCGGGAGCGCCACCGCACTCCCAAGTGCCGCACTCTACTGAGTGCGCCACCGGGCCGGTCCCTTGATTACAGGTTTTTGCCATTCATATTATTGTACAATTTTTTTCTTTTCCTGCCACCTGTGCTGTGCATTGTGCTCTTTTCACAGTCATTTTGTGAATGTATATTGACTTGACTGACAGCTCTTCAGGAGTGAAAGTCTTTGGAAAATGCTCTTGTAGGGATGTCGCTCCTACTGTTGGGGCCCAGAAAGCAATACCCCAAAGTGAAGGCCTCAGAAGCAGCCTCAAAAGCAAAGTTTTCCTCTGACCTTCTCCTGTTCTCCTGTCTCTCAGCCTCATTGTCCCCGGAGGCAAGCCACAGAAACTAGAATACCTCTTCCCCAAGGCAGGTCACAGATATAATCTTCCTCCTGCCTGTCTTGGAGCTGGCCATAAAGAAATTCTCTGAACTACATTGTCTGATTGTAGGTCATAAGACCTCCATTCCAGAAAGGGTCCTGCCTCACACTCTGGAGAGAGGAATGCTACACAGAGACATCAAGAAGAATCTGAACAGACAGGCCTTGCTGGGTTTCCCCACTGAGTCTATTAGCATTAGATCATATCTTTCTTGTCCAATCACATTTCTACACAGCTGTGCCTGCTTTATAGAACCTAGCATAAATATGGACAGTTTTTCCTATACCTTATGAAGGCTCTGGTGTCACATAAAACTATGATATAATAGCATTTGTTATGCCTGTTCTTCATATTAATCTGTGTTTATCAGATGATTTTTCAGAGAACCTTTAGGGGGTTTGAAGGGGTTGTGTCTTCCTTTGGCCCCTACACTACCAGTACAAACTAAGAAATTTTTAAAATCAAATTCCTGAATGTCATTATATACTTTATTTGCTTTAGAGATAAGAATAAATATGTATTAAAACTTGTGTTCTTTTCACTTTTCTTATTCTTCCTTCTCTCCTCAGCAAGCTGTGTAATGTTCTTGATCGACTGAATGTGATTGCAGAAAGTGTGGTGAAGAAAACAGGTTTCTTTGTAAATCGCCCTGATTCTTACTGTAGCATTTTGCGTCCAGATGAAAAGTATGTATGGTGTTTAAAAACTTAAAATAAATCAAGGTTTTTGCTCTTATGGATAAAAATATAAGAAGTTTGTACTACTTGGAAGATAGATGAATTTAGTCCTTTGCTCACGTAACTATGTTCTGAATGTTCACTGTGGTGTGGGAATTCCTTTGGTGCTTATATACCTTGAAATGGAAGTCATGGGGTCTTTTTCTCTTGCTTAGTGAGTAAACATTACATAAAATACTTCTGTCAAGTAAATTTTTTGACAGTGAATTTAGTTTTCAGTATTAAATAAAAGCAGGGAATTTTTTCTTGTAGATTAAATATTAACATTTTCATGAAAATAGTATTTATCATTATATTATAGTTATTTGCTCACAAATCTTTCGTCATTACTACTTTGTGAGCTTCTTCAGATCAAGGATCCATGCTTTATTTATCTTTTAAGAACCAATATTAGATATTTTGAGCATTTCACTTTCACTTAACATGGTTAACTACAATGGTAAAACAAAAAAACCAAAATGCAACCAACTAGTTATGTTTATGTGTTTGGCAGTAATCCTTTTGTTATACTTTGCATTGTTTGCATTTGTTATGGTCCTCAAGACCATAACAGGGGTCCTCAAGACCACACCCAGGTTCAGTGATTCATTAGGGGAACTCAAAGGACTCAGCATTTGTTGTACTAAGGGCTATGATTTATTGTGGTGAAAGGATACAAAGCAAAATTAACAAAAAGGAAAAGGTGCAAGGGGTAAATTCCAGAGGAAACCAGGCACAAGCTTCCAGAGTCTTCACCCAGTGGAGTTGCATAGAACATGCTTAGTTCCCCCAGAAACAAATTGTGACACATGTGTGAAATATTACCAACCAGGGAAGTTTGAGACTCAGGGTTTTTTACTGGAGGCTGGTCACATAGGCAGCCTCTGCCTGGCATGTACCAAAATTCCAGACCCCTGGAAGGAAAGGTGATCATCAAAAACTATATTGTTTCTACAAACAATTTCAGCACAGTAAGCTGGTCTTATTAGTTCTGGTAATGATGGGAACTCTCCTGAAGTCCAAGATCCCCAACGCCAGCCAAGGGCCAACCTTGTAAATAGGCCTTTCTAAGGATAGCAGTCAGGCCTCTTATGTTATAGTTATTCTTTTAATTATTTAAAAGAAGGTGCTGTGCAGAAAAAAGTTAATGTAATAAAAAATATAAGTTAACATAATAAAAAAATTACCTGAAAGTATGACAGAACACAGAATTAGCTGGTTTTTCAGGCACCTTCAGCTCTATTGCTTTGATTCTGTGATTCTTTTTTTTTTTTTTTTTTTTTTTTTTTTTTTTTTTTTTTTTTTTTTTTTTT